AATATATATAAAATAATAATATAATTTATATAATATATATAAAATAATATATATTATAATATAAATAAAATGCAAATTAAATAACGCTGGAATAGAGTGTTAACACGAAGATCCATCGTTTAAATTTGAGAAGGTTCAATTCCTGACACTTGTAGTCTGAATATTACTTAAAGACAATTAAATCAATAGATAACTTCCGATAATGGATGTTTGGCGATATTGAAAATAGTTGTTCGGACAACCCAAAAACTCACTTGACAAATATTTATTTCTAATTTTCTATAGATTTAAAAATTTTCTCAGTATTTTCTTCTTCCTCCTCCCCAATTTGAAATAAATTTTTTGACATAGGTCAAAAAAAATTTTTTTTTGATTTATTAATTTAAAAAAATATTGAAAAAAATTTTTTTTTTGAAATACATTTCAAATAGAGTACTAGTAATAGAGTACCATAGACCAAAAATTGTTTTTATTTACTAATAAAAAAAAAAAATAAATAATAAAATAATTATATAAAAATTAATAGTAAATATAAGTAAAGTATAAGTGAAATATAGGTAAGTAAGTAAGAATAAATTTCTAATGGGTTTCACGAAGATCGTTTATGGGTACCTTGTTTTTTACTACGGTGATTGTTATTAATATAAGAAATGTATGACTACTCGGTAATAAATATTTACAAAACTAAATTGAAACAAATATACAATAAAAAAAATTAAGGCGAAAGTGGGAAAAACTAAAATTTTCTCTAGGTTATTCTTTGCCCAACAAAAAAAACGTAGCGTTTTCAAACGATTTGTTATTTTAAATTTTGCAAAATCATTTGTTATTTTACAGAGTTACCAACATAATTTTATTTAAATTTATCTCACAATTATGCTATTATTATTATTTATGCTATGTTAATTAGATGTCCCCTGCATTCTACTGGTTTAGTAATAACTGTTAACCAACTGATTTTCTTAGATTTTTTAATGGGGACTTCGACATCAGTTTGAAAGAGTTTTTGCGATCCTTTATTTTCCAATAATTTTAATTAGGTTTATTGCATTTGATGAGTCATTGCGCAATAGGTAAGTAATTGATGGTTCTCCCTTCAAAGAGAGAACAAATAAATTTCTGCGCATAATTACTTACTAGACAATCTGGCTATAAAAAATTGATACTACTTAAATTCGTTTTAATTTGATAATTTGCATAGTCATAGACATAGTAAGTTAGTAATAATGCAACTTGATCAACCTTCCCAAAGGATGATTTCTTTTGTGTCCTAAATTCTCTTTTTTTTTGTTTTTGAATATATCAAATTTGTTGGTATCGATTTGAATGAGGATGTTTAGAAAATAATTGATACGAGTCATTGTTTGACTGTTCATCAGCTTCATAACTGTCGGCGCGCTGATATGCAAGTAAGTGATACGTTTTTAGTTAGTTAGTGGATGGAGAAACGATTCCTTCACAATTAGCTAAGAAAGCTGTTTTGAACCCACAAATCCTCGTAATAAAGGGCAGAAAAAAGGTCAAGCTAGAACCAGCCAGAGGCATTTATGAAGGCAAGAGTCTGGTCAATGCTAATGCTGGAGATATCGGCGAGTGTGTTAAAGAAGGGAGCCCCTGATTGCTGAGGAAGTATAGGCTCACTTACTACTTTCCTGTCTCAAAAAATTGTCATAAATCAACCTTCGACCGTAGACTGCAGGGGCAGGGATTGCAATACGGCTATTCGTAGAAAAGGCGTTCAGTCTAGTATGTTAATCTAGAGGTATCTAGAGGCAACTAGTTTACGCTGTTATGCAGACTATTTCAGATATGCGACAAAGGAACTTTTTATTATTTGGCTGTCAGGAAATAAATCTTGTTTTAGTTTCTAAAATTTGAAATTTTAGTTTTGAACGGAAAATTTAAAGACTACAGCTTTCGCTTGACATATATGTATTTTAAATTTGCAAATAGTTAAATCTATATAGAAAAAAGTTATAATAGGATTGAGTATTTAATGATTGATATAAAATACTTATAAAAACCTACACAAAAATGATTAATAAAAAATGAAAAAATGGAATGAAGATGAAAAAGGTGAAATAATTAATAAAATTAAAGAAAAATTTAAACACAAACAAATTGATAACAAATACTTATAAGAAAATGAAAAAATACAAATAAATACAAATTTATTTTATATTTTGCTTCTAATAATTTTAATATTTATTAAGTTTGTTTTTCATAGAATAGAAATACTCTTTAGGTCTAAAATTCTGGAAATTGTTAAGAAACCTCGAAAAAATATATGTAGTTGAATATATAGTTCATATATATAGTTATTAAATATAGTTGAAAATTTTAAATATTTTAAAATGGATAATTAAAACAACATTAATAGTGTTTTATAAGTTTTAATAATTTAAACGCTTTCATAAGCCAATGTAAATAATTTAAAAACGTCATTTTAATAAAAAAATTAAAACATTTTTTGCACTTTTAAATTGTCAAAAAAAAAAATCAAAAAGTAGAGCAAAAGTTTGAAGTTGTTAAGTAGAGAAATTTATATAAAAATTGTAAAAACGTGAAAAAAGAAAAAAAAAATAAAAATAAAGGGGCGCGCGTCGTTATAACTGAAATATAAGGGTGTAAATCAGTCCATACCGCGACTTCAAAGGTAGTGCTGTTTACAATTTTAGTCCTACCAAAAGTCATGCATGCAATCAAAATTTGATCGATTAACATATACCATTCTGATCTCTTATCGCACTCTTCCCACTTGACGGGGTTTTCTATATGATTTGCCGAAAAGTAGATAAGTTATCGAATATTTTTATATCTAAGTAGACTTTAATAAATGATACACTTAGACCCAACTTATATGGAGAGAAAGGACCATTGACCACTGATTGACAACCAGTGATATCTCTTTCGTCTTTTCCGGCTGAGAATTTTATATGATTCCTATATATCGTTAATTATGTTACAATTATAACATTTTTGGACCATATGTGTCATGCATTCGTCACCAGTAAAACCACTATGTCTTCAAACAATCATTGATGACGGGTGTATCCTTTCTTGCAGGTTCTGTAGGTGGATTCAAGATGTTATGCAAAAAGCTAGCTTACTCAAAAATTGTGAAATTGCAATTCGTCCTTAATATCTTGTAATATGAAAAAAGTTTTATTGCTAATACAAAAGTATTTCCTCTATAGTTAATGCCAGTGCTTTTATATTTTCTTTAGGTTTTAAAGCAGCATTTGTAACATTTACTATAATATTTGAGAATCCTTGGTAATATCCTTCATTAAAAGATGGCAACCTTTTGCGATAACAACTAAAATCGACTTGTTTTTTCACCCATGTATATTTGTTGTTATTATTTATATTTCGGATTACATATAAGTCTAATCAGTTTAATATAGTAAACCAATATATTACTATAATTATCGGAATAGGTATAGAAAACTTTAATTATGCAATTTACTTATGAGAGTCAATAGGGTTTTGAAATTATTTAAAAAATCTTCAGTTAATTGACAAAAAAAAAGAGTATTTTCTAGATATTTATCAGAAAGAATCTTCCAAATACAACTTCTTCTGTTGCTTTTCGTAACTATTATATTATTATTTTTTGATTAAAAATAAAAAAAGTGACATTACTATGTAACGGCACGAGATAAGTCATAAAAAAAATTATGGGCAATGTACTTGAAGCTAAAATTTTGAATGGCAAATTTGAAGGTGAAGCTATTCTCCTGCCACGAATCCCAATGATCCCTTCAGACTCACAAATTTCATTCAGACGTCTGCAATTTCCGATTCGCTTGACATTTGCCATGATTATTAATAAGTCACCAGGTTAAATAATGTCGATTTGTGGGATTGATCTAGAAAATCAGGTCTTTTCACATGATCAAATATATGTGGCATGTGCTCGCGTTGGAAAACCGTCAAGTTTATTCATTTATACTCCTCAAGAATTTACTAAAAATATTGTTCCTCAACTCGCATTAAGATGAAATTATACAAACATTATTGATTATTACGAATTGTTTTTAGAAAAATTGATGTTATTTCAAACTATAGAATAACAAAATTATTACATTATTTGTCTTTCATTTCTTACTTTGTTTAATATCCTAATCACTTAGTATATCATACAGGGCAACATTTGACGGGTCCGCTAGAATTTTTATATATTTTTATATATTTTTAATAAAGTATTTTTTTTCATTTTTTATAAATACATATTCGTTCTTCATAAAATATTTGTACAAAATTTTTTTTTTATGTTTATATGTATAACTCCCAATTTAATAAAAAAAAAACAATACTACATAATTTTTTACAATAACATTTTAATAATTTTATTTCGTTTAAAAATTTCGTCGCATAAATAATTAATTACCTAAATTATTTACGCAATTCATTGTATTAGCCCTATTATAAATGAGATTTTATTTCAGAATACTTCAATATGCCACAAATTTCCGGTCAGAATAATCAAACAATATTTTACTAAACTTTTGATGGAATGCAGTTCTGTAAGAAACTTTTTTTTCTTTTTAATACGACTAATGTGTGTACAAAGAAAGCGGTACTTTACAATTTTTGAATCAATTATCTACTTTCATCATCTACTAATTAGTGTTGTCTGAGTTGGATAACATTTCATGTATATACAAATAGAAAGTATAGATTCTTTATTTAAGAATAAGTAGAACTTCTGAAAGTAGTTCTACTTTTCCACACATTCTAGTAATAGCATACACTACATACATATAAATTGCTTTTTGATGGAA